GTTATAAACAAAATCATATCCGTTCTTGTCCCCTCCTTAATGTTTGTGTCCTATATCACATAAATTGAGGCAAATTACTTCTTTCTTGTTTTCTTGTTCCTGAAACAAACATTACTGTTTGTACTCTGAAGTATGTCTGACAATGTTGGACATATCAGGATTATCGGTCACTGTCTTCCCAAATCTAGACAAAATTGACACTGATTCTCAGCATATTTTGCAGCTTGTTCTGTAGCTCGTTTCAGATCCACCCACCTGGCTCATTGTAGCATTTGCAAGGAATAATTTTTCCTACACTAAGCAAACAAACAAAAAACCCAAACAGAAAGCCAAAACAAACCAAGAAAAACTGCAGTGGAGATCTGCAGTTGATAAGGGTTTATTGCTAGGATGATAACTACGTGCATGCTTATATTAAAAAGTGCTCCATAAGTTCTGCTGTGCCTAGCAGAATGCTCTCCAGATACTGTGCTTATCCTTAATAAAACAGTAGATTTGATTTTCCAGTTCGCCACCTAGCTGCTCCACAAGAGAGAGGATCAGTTTGGCTCTAAGAATTAGACCCTGAGCCCCATCTAAGCCTGCTGGGAATTTCCACTGCATCCATTTTCATCTGATTTGAATAATTCCCAGTATGTTGTTCTTTGAGATTCAAACAGGACACAAAAAAAGAGTATCATCATTCAGGGAAAATGGAAAAGAAAAGCTTGATCATTTTTTATTAACAAGTCCGTTTAATGTAGCTGGACAGTGAAAGCAATACACCTCCTTGCCAGCTGTTCTGGAGGGCTTTAAAGTTTGAACTGAGAAGAAACCAAGATGTTCCTGGTTCCCTGGCACTAGTGAGATCCAGGCTACCATGTGTCAATGCTTCGGTGCCTATCCTGGCAGATCTAACTGTGGTTTACAACACTCCTAGAAATGCACTGCCCTGCTGGATTTTTAGAAGCAGGGATTATACATAATTTTCTGTTAAAGGCTTGAACATCAGTTTATTTAACTAATTTAATTTCCTCATTATTAGGAATTTATTTTCACATAGTCTGTCTTGCCTTTGTCTCAGTTTGGATTTGTTCCTTTCTTTCTTCTTTCTCTCTGTGTTCCACACTGCCAGGATGATTTGCAGTTCCATTGTCCCACTCTCACCAGCACTTTCCCATCATATTTCAGGCACCTGCCTCCCCCTTGCATAAAACTCAGCTATCTACTGCAAGGCTGGGAGTAAATAAATGTAGAAGTCCAAGGGCCTTTCACTATTTGCTCTAAGAAACTGTTTACCTGGTGTTTTCTTGCACAGAGAAATTAGGGTTTCGTCCTGCTCTTCCCAGTCCTTTTTGTCTAAAACTGTTGGCAAAACCCACAGGAAAGAGGTGCTCTCAATAAACGTGGCTCTCAGATCCAGTTTTTTCCCCTGGGAGGTGACATGTCCACCTCCAGCAGGCCCCAGGGAGAGGACTACGGCTCCAAAGGAAAATCAAGTATTTTGGTCAGCAGAGCTGGCTGTTCCCTGGCCTTGCTCTCTCACTGCCCAGGAAAGCTGTGTGCTGGCTGGGGAGCCAGCCACCTAAGCCATGGAGAACATACTGGGAGGGAGATGAACAATCAGATCCCCATCCACTGGGCATTTGCACTTCTAAGCGTGCACCCTCTCTGTTTCCCTCCTCCTAGGAAACTTGGCAAGCAGAAACCAGCCCTGGCTCTAAGTGGACATGAAAGCCTCTGGGAATGAGAGGGAAATCATAGTCTGCCCCTTTCTCATGCCCCCTCTAACACCAGCCCTGTGGCAATGGGATGAAACAGGCGTTCCCCGCACTGACAAGGGGGAAATAGGAGCTGTGGTAGCATGGAGACCACCTGCCCAGCCCCTTGGTAGCCTCCCTCTCCCTTGAGAGAACCTTGAGTTTCTGCAGAGTTTCTGTGACCCCCAGGTGCAGATGAAAGCTCAATCAGAGAGGGAGCTCACCCCTACGAACATGAATAGAAAAGCTCCCCTTGGAGCTGCCGGGGACACTGCTCCTCCCTCTCCACCCAAGCTACATATCCATGGGGACAGGGGACTCATCCTGCCCGAGCAAACCCCAACGAGGCAGCTCCACGCCGGGAGAAGGAGCCATTTGGGACACGTGGAGCCAAAAACAAGGAAAGCCCCCAGCAAAGCCTCGCTAGAGATCATTAGGCATCTCTGGATAAGGATGCAGTTTCCTTTGGAAATAGCCTCGCTGAAAGTTCGCCTGCGCTCGCCGGGAGCGACTCCCCGTCCCTCTGCGGGAGGGGAAGCTCATCATGAGCTTCCTCACGAGCCTTCTTTTTGTCTCCTCCCAGGGAAGGGCTGAGTGCTTTGTTCTGTGGTTCTAGGAAGACTTTACTCCACTGCGGTCCAGCGCACTGTAGATGACTCGGCTCCCTCGCCCTCCCTCTTCTCTCATGAGCCGCGGATGAGGGGCTTTGGAGCGGCTGGGGAGTGTGAGGGGTGGGGGAGAGGGATGTGTTTTAAACGTTTTAAGTTCAGAGACGGCATTTTTTCCCCCTCAGGAGGCGTGTCTAGCACGTAGATCTATAAAGAGGAGAGCCAGTAATGACGGATGTTCTGTCAAACTTAAAAGGTGCCAATTACCACGGAGTCACCGGGTGCCATCAAGATGCACCTGCCGAGACTGATGAGGAGCCGGGCGCGGCGGGCTCAGGGAGGCAGCGCTGCTCACACGCGTGTCGGTGGCTGGGGGGAATCTCCGCTCTCCCCGGGCGGGCGGCAGACAGGGCACGGAGGGGTGAGGGTCACACGCCAGGGGTTTTCGGGACTGGGCTTTTATTCCCACGGGAGATCACGGCGCGAGGGAGCGCTTGCGAGGAAGTGAGCTGCTCCCCGCTCGGGCGAGGCTGGCAGGGCGGAGGATGTCCCTCCGGCGGTCCGTGCCGACCGCACGGCGCTGAGCAGCGTGGCACTGGGGAGCCCCCTGCAGCTGGGTAGAGCCAGCTCGGAGCTACCTCCGGCTTTCACTCCAGCCGGACCTCTGTCCTTTTCTGCAATGCAGGGAGGGAGGCTGGGGAGTCCCCAAGACTGCCGTGTTGCTGCCGGGGTCATCCCAGGGCAGGGACGCCACCCGCCCCCTGCTCCCGCTGTGGGAAGGGCTGGCTCGTGCTCGCGGTGACTGAACTCTAATTAAATCTCCAGAAATCAACGTGCACAATCAAACACTCGCTGGGAGGGAAAGAATAACAATAATGATAATAATAAGGGGAAGAAAAAGAAGAAGCAGGCGCTGTGGCTTTTGAGGATGCTGATCATCCTGATTAGTGAATGTTAAAGTGTGCTGAGCGCCAAGGTCTGAGAGACAAACCATGGGAGGTGCAGGGGGAGCCCGGGGCTGAGGCTCTGTCTGGCAAAGGAAGGGACACCCAGGATGTGGAGGTGGCTGTCCCCTGCCCTGACACTTGAAGTGAAGGGAGCAATACCCTGGGGCTGCGGCATGCTTATGGCATGCTTCCAGCCTCCCGATACCAAATAGTGTCTGAGTTGCCTGGATAGGTGTCTTCCAACTCTACTGTGAAGTCCAGGCAAAATTTTCTGTGAAAGCTGAGAAACCAAGGGGCAGAAGTCAGGTCACAGTTGCCTTGATTTTCCTGAAGAGCTACAAGTAATCCAGCCCTTAAATAATATGAAAGTGTTTTCAGGTAGAGAAACACAGCCTTGTGTAAGCTGAAGGACAAGTACCTCCAAAATTCAGAGCTCCCCATCTCTAAATTAGCTGGTAGTAAGGAACAAAACAGATCATTTCATTCCAACTCTACTGCCATGGGCTGGGACATCTTCCACTAGATCAGGTTGCTCAAAACCCCATCCAGCCTGGATTTGAACCCTTCCAGGCAATAGCCCCACCCCAAAGGCACATCACCCTTTTTGGGGTAAATCTACCCCTAAGACCTTTGCAAAAGCAACAGCTACATGTATGTGAGTCGTGTAGGCAGCTCTTTTCCTGGAGCAGTCTCAGGCCAAGAAATACTTGGAGGAGTAGAGGTTGGAGTGAAGTGGAGGGGAGTGGTTGTGCTGTGGCTCCTTCAGCCTTTCAAGACAAGAGATGGGTTGGGGGAGGCAGCAGCCAAAAGCCTGCATTGCCTTCAGAAAGTCCACTTCTCTTTTCTGCACTTAGCACTTCCCCCTACTATTCTTTGGACAATAGATGAGATGGGTTCCGCTCTCCTGCTTCTCACTCCGACAGCCCTATCCCAAAGGAAAAGCAAACTTCTGACCAAAATCAGTTCTGGTCCAGGAGAGAGGCAAATAAAAACAAAGAAAACCTAAAGATTTTTATATCTAGATTACATCCATAGAACTGGCAAGTTTTCTTAAACAAAGTGAATACTTCTTAGCCTAGTGACTATTAGTTAAAGAGAAATTCTTTACACCCTGTGAGAATTAATTCTTGCTCTCAGAATGCATCTGTTTTCTCTAATTTATTTGCCACTGTGCAAAGGAAGCCTCCCCCCATTAAAATTTCAGAACAATAATCAGTTTAACAAACTGAACTGGATTTAGCGTAACAACATTTCTCCACAATGTGTGGAGCCTCTGATGACTGCAATAATCTAAGAGCAAGATCTCTTTCTCTCTTTCTCCTCTCATACATTGCTTTTAGACTTACAGCTATCAAAGAGTTGCCAAAAAAAAAAAAAGAAAAAAAAGAAAAACAGAAATAAAGAGGACAGTATTGCAGGGAAAGATGGGGAGGAGGTAATTGAAAAAAAACCAACCAAAATTAAAAGTGGTTCTGATGTGCAAATTGTAGATAAAGACTTGTGATGAGAAAGAGGGGAGTGCCTGATGAGGAAGACGGGAGAGTGTGTTCAGAGATAACAAGAACCAGTAATTTCTATTCAGCAAAGCCACCAAATCAGAGAGCAGCGCGATTTTATTGGAGGAGAGCCTTCAACAGCAACTAATCCTGTCATATTGAAAGAAAATTGTAAATGTTCTCTGCAGAAATTGCCTTCCCATTGCAGCTAATCGAGCCCACTTGGCGCTCACACACATCACACACCCCCGCGCAGCCCTCCGGGCGGTCAGAGCGGACCCACAGCCGCAGCACCCGGCGAGGACATTCACCCGAGATGCTCACCTAGGCACCCCGCTTCCCTCGCTCGCACCAGCCCGGCCAGGGCGGCAGCTTACCCTCATTTCCCCACGAGCTCTGGGGAAGTGTCAATTATTACCGGCTCACTCACGAGTCCCGGCTTCACCTGCTTTTAATTACTCCAGTTCTGTCTAAACCTTTATGCCAGGTTTGATAGCACTATTGCTCTTTTTTTTTTTTTTTTTTTTTTTTTTTTTTTTTTTTTTTTTAATGCTCAGCTTGGCTAAACTGAAGCAGCGACTCCCGAGGGTGTGTGTGTATATGTGTGTGCCTGTGGGTTTGGGAGGGCGAGAGGGAGCGAGACAAAAACTCCATCAGCCCGGACAATGCCACCTCTTGTTTAAAGCTTCCAACCTGTTATTCTTTCCCCCTACTATCACGGTACCAAGTGATCTGTATTTCCCCCAGCCCAATCCCCCTCCCTCCTGGTGGAAGATATGGAAGAGGAAGATAAAGCTGCTGGCTGCGGGCGCTGACGGCGCGCAGCCCGCATGCCTCCGCCGCCACAGCCGGGGCCGCTCCGCAGCCACCGCTCCAGCGAGCCGCTTGCAGCGGGATGAGATGCAACTTCTGCTAATTGGATCACAGGTAGGAAAGCTTTGGTTTTTACTGGCGTTTCCTCTTTCTCTCTCTCTTTTTTTTTTTATTTTTTTCTTTCCATCTTTTTTTTTTGTATTTTTTTTCCTCTTGGCTTTTCTTTCACGTCCTCTACCCTCCGCCCCTTCCTCGCCGCACCTAGGATTTCATCCGCTGCTGTCATAGGAAAGCTCCCGCCAAGGAAATAATGTCTAAGAAACGAGCTTTTGCTTCCTGGCAGAAGAAGCAGAACAGACCATAGGGAAACTTTTGCTGAATGGGTCACAGCTGAGCGGGCCACCGGTGAAAAGCAGCGAGAGGAGATTAGTCAAAGCGATTGTCCCCAGCACAGAGCCATTCTCTGTCGAGTTTCAGCTGTGATATTAATCCCAGAACTGAGTTTATCATGGTACAGTGGGAGAGAGTAGCCTGATTTAGAGAAACCTTCACATTTTTCAAACGCTATACACAGGGGGTTTTATTACAAAAGCTACATTCCGACACAGGTTCATCTGCCGGGCTACCGTTCCCAAATCTCTTTGTGACATGTTTGTCGACGACTCCTGCGAAGTATCACCGGGAGCGGGGAGCGGAGCCGTGCCCGGGGAGCGGAGCCTGCCCGCGGTGCGCGCTCGCTGCCGGGCGGGCGGGATCCCTGCCCTGCGGGACCAGGAGGGATGCGGGTACCCGGGAGGGGCTGTCGCTGTGCCGGCACGGTCCCGAGCCCCCGGCATCGCTGCTGTGCCCGGGAGCAGCTCCCGCCGCCGCTGCCTCATCTCTCGCGTCCTGCTCGGGGAGGGGGGCGCGGGCTCGGGGCGCTGCCGGAGGTGGGAAGGGTCTGGGCTCTCCCCGGCGCATTTCCGGCCCCGCTTCCCGCATCCCTGCCCCTGGCGTTCGCTCCCCGGAGCAGGAGCAGGGTGCTGCGGGAGGGGATGCTCCAGGGCCGGGTCTGGCACGTCCCTCTGTCCGGCTGAGACCCCGGGAGGGCTGTGTCGGTCCCGGCCGTGTCCCTGGGCTCCCTTTCCTTTCTCCCGTGCCGCCGCCACGGGGTGCTTAGGGCCAGAAGGAGCGAGCTGACACTTTGAGAGGGAGCTGAAATCAAGCTGTGGGAGAAAAATTGCCTCCCAGAAAGAGCTCTGGGCAGGCATCGAGGTCCTGGTGCAGCCCCACAGTAAGACTCTTATCAGCGGCTCTGAAAGGACAATGTGCTTTCTGCTTCTTGTCAGGCAAAAGCCAATTCTGGCCATCTCTCCAGCAAAGGGCACTTCTCCTGGCTTTGCACCTTGTCACCGGTCTGCCCCGTGCTGGGCTTGGCGGCTGCCCCAGCACCAGGGGATGGGGAAAGGCAAGCTGGGGGCTCCTCTGCTCGTTCCCTGCATGGCAGCCCAGGCAGAGGGCCCTGATGCCAGGTGCTCCTGGAGAATGGCTGTGCCCGCTGCCAGCTCCGAGAGGAGGCTCTCAGGGCTTGTAACTCATCCCCACCGGCCCATGGGTGAATCCCTATCCCTTTGCTGGGTGAAGAACAAGGGCCACTTCTTCCCACCCCTGTAAGATTGTCTATTCCTACTATTTTCATTTGCTGAAGTTCCTTCCAGGGCAAGGAGATGGCTTTATTTCCAGCTGGAAGTTCTTGTTGCAAATCTAGCCAGAATGACATCTATTCCCACTTTTATGTATCAACCAGTGTGTTGGCACACACTGGCTTGTCCTTGTCTCTTGAGGAAGATATTCTCTTTGCAGAAGGAAAAAGGCAAGGACAAAAGATGAAGGTCTAACCTCTGCTTGACAGCTTGCAGTTATTTGGGGGATAAAGCACATCCACAAGCTATAAAAAATTATAAGGAAGGTTAATACAGGAGAGCAGAAGTATGCAAGCTGTCTGTCTTTGTGGTATTGCATCACTTGCAATCACAACCCCTGTCTGAATACACACCAGCTTTGATTTGTGTGGTTTATGACACCAGCCACTCTCGGTGATTCATTCTATAAATCTCTCTAAGCTACACAGTATACACTTCCTCTTTGCTGTAGGATCTCTTGAAGTGTAAGTTTGGTTGAACTTCCCCTCTGCAGGAGCCTGGACTGTTTGGTTTTGCACCAGGAGAGTGAGAAGTGCAGTACTCTCGCTGGTTTGTTGAGCTTGTGCCCCACTGAGCTGCCCCCTCCATTCCTTCCCTCACCACTCTGATTTTTGCATTGCAGTCTACTTGGGAACAAGACACAGTATATGGGGGGGGGGGGGGGGGGGGGGGGGGGGGGGCAGGTCTAGGACGTCCCAAACTTGTTTTGGATGGAGGGCAAATTATAAAACTTGTTTTGGATGGAGGGCAAATTATAAAAAGGAGAGGTCATGCTTTTCTCCCATCCAAACCCAGGATTGTGAGTAGTATTGTCTACCCAAATGGTTGTAACTCTGCATCTGGGCAGAGCTCAGGGAGACCTTGGACCATGTGTGATTAAGAATGTCCTGAGGAGATGGAAGAGATAACAGTCTGGCTATGCTCTGTCCTCTTCCAGGACAGAGACACAGACACTGAAAGGAGGTGTTCAGCCCAGTGCCCACTGCCACTTTGGTTGTCACCTCTGGGCTGAATCCCTGTGTGTGTGATGGTTCTCAGGTACTGAAAATGCTTGGCTCTTTCAACCCTTTTTGTGTCTCATTCAAAAGTCTTTTGAGGACACCTACTACGAAATCCCTCACTGTTGTTAATATAATCCCAGGAGATTGATCTGTCCCACTTCACTCCTTTAACCCACTCACCCGTTCACCCAGCTTTCTCTTCTCCACTGATATCATGACCTACATGCAAAAGACGTATTTTCTGGTCCTGTTTCCATAGCAATGCAGCATGGGGAACTCAGACAAGCCAGTAATAATGAAGCCAATTCTCTTTCTGTGAAATCAAGACCTCTTTGAAAGTTGAGTTCAGTTTAAGGCGAAGTAGGAAGCCGCGGGCAGTTTTATTTCCAGCCCGGAGCCCAGATCTCCGCGCCCTCTAGTGCCAGAGGCAGGCGAGGAAGAGCATCCCCAGGACCAAGGAATGCGAGGCTTCATAGCCAGCTACGGCAGAGGGAGAGAAACAAGTGGTATGAGAAAAGGACATCCATCCATTCTTCCCGGTGTCTGCTGCCAGTCAGATCTTCCCCCTTCTAAATCCCAAGCTGAAAAAAAAAGGCATCTAGTGTTCAGCTGATTCAACTTATCGTGGTTTGGTCACTTGGAGGCTATGGCTTGCGCGGGTTAAACTGGAGTAAAAAGTGGGAAGAAATTGAAGCTGGGAAGCTCAGACTATGTCTGACCATTTTTTTTGAAATTTGGATCTCCGTGGCTTTGAGCTTCGTAGCTTGAAGCAACTCAGCTAATTGTGAGAGATTTGGAGGCACCGAAGAGGATTACTCACTTGTGAAACTGCTGCCCTGACCTTCTACTGGCTGTTTAGGTGGGTGGATGGGATAGGCAACAGTAATCAGGCTAAGGAAAGCTGAAGGGGTTTGGATGCAGCTCATATGAATGACAGGGATAACTTTTTCACAAATGCTAGTAGCCTTAAATCTTAAAAAGCTTAAATTGTATGCTGGTATTTAATGTATAGTAGCATTAAATTGTGTGGTAGCATTTCAAGCCCTGTTAAACCCATCTTAGAGATTCCCATCTCTAAGAACCAGGCTGCTGAAAGAACCAAGCACTGAGAACACCTGTAGCTAAACAAACTCCACACACACCACCTACCCATTTTTTCAGTTTCTGTATTTTGGCAAAGGTATCTTTCAGTTTTTGCCAGGTCTTCACAGGTTGTCCTGTGTCAGAGCTTCCCAAAAAATACAGTTCCCTACTTCCACACCCACCAGCTGACTGCCAAACACCTGCGCCTAGCAGACTGCATTCCCTAGCTATCCATATTAAATCAAGGAGGGATCCCTTGCTGACTTATCCCACCACCTTCCTACACTTCCCTGATTGAAGTGGGCAGAATCAAAAGTTGAGACCATTCCTGAAGCTGCATTAAAGGGCTGTCTCCTTTTCCCATACACCCTGAGCTTGTTGCTATGTAAAAATGCTTTAGGCTGTGGAGCTGCCTGATGTTTTGGACTGCCTGTCCTACCTTATAATCTATATTGTTACCTATGTCTAGCACCATCTATTCCCCACAGAGAGGGGTATATATCAGCAGGTCTTCCAAAGAATATCTCTCATATATCACAATTTGAAGTCCCAAGAGGATAGACTAGGGTGAAGTGAGTTTCATCTCATTTCCATCAAGCACTTCCTAATTAATGCTTGCCAATGCCACTAAGATGTGCAGTGGGATTTCAGTAGTCCATGTGCCTCATGTATTCATTTTTAAGGATATGATACATATTAAAAGAAACCACATTTAGGGCCAGCTGCTTTGCTCAGAGTCTTCTGTTTGACAAGATGATTCTTTGATTCCTATTATTCCAGTATTTCTTGAGACTCCATGGACTAGATTTTGATCTTAATTACATTCTTTCAAATCAGGGGTGCCTCCAGTGATTTTAATTGCATCTGGTTTATTTTGGTGCAATTGAGCTCAGAATTTGACTTTCACAGAAACATAGCAAGTATTGTAATTAGAATATGCCAGTGTTTTGACAACTGTTCATGGAACAGCTCTGTTTCATCAGACTCTGCTGAAAGGGAAATGCAATGTGATAATGGGCACAGGGCACCTCTTGCAGTGATAGCAATAAAGATCTCTGTGAGAAGCCACAACATAAATAGGCAAGAAATTCTGTAAATCAGCATTTCCCTGGGTTTCCCTCAAGCTCTTAGAAAAGCTCTGAGTAAAATGTGGCCATGTGTGGGCTTTCTTAGTTTTTTGGTTGCTTGTGTTTTACAGTTTGGTGTTTGGTTGTTTTACGGTTTGGTGTTTGGTTTTGTTTGGGGTTTTTTGGCTTTTTTGAGAGAGGAATAATGAGACAAAAATATCTCCATAGGTCTTTCTTCTGAATCATTGTCAAAATTAGTGTTGGAAACCAAGGTAATAAAA